ATTAAAGTGCTAGTTTCCCCAAAAGATGTTTAAGAACTCTAAACTGTTGTGTACATAAAAATAACTTAAGAATGCATGTTAAAAATTCATATTTGCAGAATTGGCACCTAGTTCTTTTGGTTGTAGAGATCTGGATAAATATGACGATACTTTTAACAACACTCTCCCTTGGTTCAGTGTAATGTAGGTCATCCTTTGGCTACACTTTGAAAAATCCACCACCAGTTCATCTATTCCTTCCCACCAGATCTGTCACTTTTCAAGTTCCAAACTCTTCACTTTCTGCCTCAGGTTAAAATCTAATTCCAAATTCAGTGTTTCCCAAACGTTTACACACCTCAACATTACACTTACATACATCTCCTGAGCCTTGCTCTGGGTCCCAATTTTGTATGTCTGTTGCAGGGCCCAGAAATATTTATTATATTTATTATATTTATTATATTTTAATGCCCGAATGATTCTGGTACAGAGCTGGGGGTTTGGGACAGATTGCCCTTGCTCAGGATTGCTCAGACTTCCTGATGGAAACATCACCTGGAGCCCTGGCCAGTGTGGCTCAGTTGGTTGAGGATGTTCCCCTGTAACATATGTCCATTCCAATATATGCTGAAAAATATTTTATGCAACTGAATTGCTATATCAGACATCTAATGCTAAAACTTTAATTCTGGAAAAAGCAAGAGCAACAATTATAATTTCATTATTTTATACTTAGTATAGATTCTAGCCAGTCTATAACTTCAAGAAAATAAATTAATGATTGGAATGAGGAAGAATAAAATAAAAATATTTCATTATTCAGAGTTGATAATATTATCTTTAGAAATAACTGAAAAGATAAACAAATGAATTAGTAAAATTTCAGCAAGGATGCTACACATAAAAGCAATATGTAAAAAATCAATTGAATTTCTCTCTGCTAATAAAAGACTTCAAGAATATAATATGTTAAAAGATGTTCTTTAAATGGCAAAAAAATATATAGGTGCCTGAGTTCTCTTATAAAATGTTTTTAAAGACATTTTAGAAAATGTGAATAATAAGTATATGTGTCTATGGATGGGAAAAGTTAGTATTAAAGATTATAAAATCCCCCAAATTAATTTATAAATTCGAAGTAATTTGAATCAAAACCTTAAAAGAAGTTTTTGTGAAATATGACCATTTGGTTCTAATATTTATATAAGGAAAAAAGGGTGATAACTAAGACAATTTTAAAAAGAACAACAAAGATGGAAATATGCTCTATAAGATGTAAAGAATCTTTATAAAGCTGTGTTAAATAAGACATTTTAGTAATACTGCTGAAAGAAGTAATGGAAAGAAATAGAGTCTATATGCAAACTCTTTTGTATATTTTCATGTGTACATATCAAATCATATATACATGTATACATACATATACATATACACATACATTTACATATATCGATACATATACATGCACGGAATTCGTGCACGGTGTGGTTTCCCTCAGCCAGACCTGCTCAGTTGTTTGGTCGCCCCTCACCCCCAACTGGCATGGTCACCACATGCAGACTGTTCAGTCATCTGTTTGGTTGTGATGGTCGCTTAGGCTTTTATATACATTGATAGATGGGTTTTAAAGATACATATTTCAGGTAGAGGTAACAATTCAATGATAGCTAACTACTGTTAGGTTATACACATTTAGAATATTTTGGATGCAATTTTACAGTGCAAATTATTTATTTCTTGGGAGCCTTAGACTCTAGTCAGTGGGAAGACTTTTTGTATAAAGATACCTTCTGCATAAACATATTAATAAAAGTCATTTATTTATTCTCTATCCTGTATAATATTGGTATTTTGCATGAACTTGTTAGCTTGTTACAAGATGTTGTTTTGATTCTTTATGGAAATTGCTTCTGCTGTGGTTTGTCATTTCTAGCTAAAAGTCAAAGAAATTTGAAAATGCAAGGCTGAGTTTGGCAAATCTTTTTTTTTTTTTAAATATAGTTTATTGATTTTTTACAGAGAGGAAGAGAGAGGGAAAGAGAGTTAGAAACATCAATGAGAGAGAGTCATTGATCAGCTGCCTCTTGCACTCCCCCCACCGGGGATGTGCCCGCAACCAAGGTACATGTCCTTGACCGGAATCGAACCTGGTACCTTTCAGTCCACAGGCCGATGCTCTATCCACTGAGCCAAACCGGTTTTGGCGGCAAATCTTAATAGTTTGTTATGAGAAAGGGTTACACTGTTTATAAGAAACATGTTCCTCTGTTGCTCATTGTAGTTAGAATTTCATCAAGGGATAAAGCTGGGAGAGTAAAAATATCAGTATTGTACAAAGGCTATTGGTTGCTCTTTATTTTTGATTTATAGGTAAAATTGGTGTACAACATTAATTCAACATTTATATACACTATAAAGTGATCACTATCAAAAGTCTAGTTACAGTCCTGGCCTGTGTGGTTCAGTTAGTTGGAGCATCATTCCATGCACCAAAAGGTCTCTGGTTGGATTCAGGTCAGGGCACATATACCTAGGTTGTGGATTCAATCCCTGGTTGGGGCATGTATGGAAAGCAGTCAGATCAATGTCTATCTTCCTCTCTTTCTTTCTCTCTCCCTCTCTCCTCCTTGGCTCTCTCTAACAAAGAAATCAATAAAAACACATCCTCAGGTAAGAATTTTAAAAACCGTCTAGTTAGCGCTAACTGGTTTGAGCAGTGGATAGAGCATCTGCCTGCAGTCTAAAAGGTCCCTGGTTCAATTCTGGTCAAGAGCACATGCTTGGGTTGTGGCCTGATCCCCAATAGGGGGTGTGCAGGAGGCAGCCAATCAATGATTCTCATCATTAATGTTTCTTTCTCCCTCTCTGAAATCCATAAAAATATATTTTTAAAAATGTTCCAGTTATACATCACCATACAATTGATCTCATTACCCATTTTGCCTTTCCCCAACCCAACATTCTATTCTCTATATCTATGACTTTGATTTTGTTTGTTTTGGTTTGTTTGTTTTTTTAGTATTCACTTATAAGTACAATCATAAGGTATTAGTTTTTCTCTTTTGGACTTATTTCACTTAACACCGTGGTCTGCAAACTGCGGCTCGCCAGCCACATGCAGCTCTTTGGCCCCTTGAGTGTGACTCTTCCACAAAATACCACAGCCTGGGTGAGTCTATTTTGAAGAAGTGGCATTAGAATAACTTTAAGTTTAAAAAATTTGGCTCTCCAAAGAAATTTCAATCGTTGTACTGTTGATATTTGGCTCTGTTGACTAATGACTGACTTAGCATAATACCCTCATGTTGTATCAAATGGCAAGATTTCCTTCTTTAAAAAAAAATTATTGGGGTAACATTTACTTCTTTTTTATGGCTGAATAGTACTTCATTGTGTGTACCTACCACATCTTTACCCATTCATCTCTTAGTGGGCACTTAGAGTGCTTCCATATCTTGGCTATTGCAAATAATGCTGCAGTGAATGTAGGGATCCATATATGTTTTCAAATTGGTGTTTTGAAAGTATTCTGATAAATACCCAGAAGTGCAATTGCTTGGTCATAAGGTAGTTCGATTTTTAATTTTTGTGAGAACTTTTCTTAGTGTTTTCTATAGTGGCTGCACCAATTTACAACCTCATCAACATTGCACAAGGGTTCCTTTTTTTCCCACATCTTCACCAATATTTCATGATTGCTGATTTGTTGATAATAGCCATTTTGACAGGTGGGGCATGTCTTTGATGACTAGTGGTGCTAAGCATCTTTTCCTATGTTTACTGGCCATCTGTATGTCCTCTTTGAGTAAATATATATTCAGGTACTCTGCGCATTTTTAAAAATCATATTTTTTAATGTTGAATTGTATGAGTTCTTTATATACTTTGGATATTAATCCTTTAGCAGATATCTGATTTGTAAATTCTACCATTCAGTAAGTCGGCTTTTTGTTTTGTTGATGGTTTCCTTTGGGGTGCAAAAGCTTTGACGTAGTTCTATTTGTTTTGTTTTTGTTGTCTTTGCCCTAGGAGTCATAACCAAAAAATATTGCTAATATTAAAGAGTTTATTGCTTATGTTTCTTTCCAGGAGCTTTATGGTTTCAGTTCTACGTTTAAGTCTTTCATCCATTTTGAGATTATTTATGTATATGGTATAAGAAAGGGGCCTAATTTCTTTGCTTTTTGTATGGATCTGTTTATCTTCCCCAGCACTATTTATTGAAGAGGCTGTCTTTACCACACTGCATATGCTTGCCTTTTTTGTCATAGATTGACACATAAGCATGGGTTTATTTCTGGGCTCCCTGTTTCTTTGATCTATGTGTCTGTTAATATGCCAGCACCATACTGTTTTGATTATTATAAGATTGTAGTATAGTTTGATGACAGGTAGTGTGATAGTTCAAGCTTTCATCTTTTTTTTTTTTTATCAAGATTGCTGTGGCTATTTGGGATCTTTTAGTTGGCTTGATTTTATATTAGCTCATAATGCTCATTAGCTCATATTAGCTCATAACAAATTTTCTAAAATTATTGTTGAAAGTATTATATGTGCCCTCCTTGTTTCTTCCATTATGCATAACCCTTCTAGTCCACCCTCACCTCTCACCCCAGGTCTTCGCCACCCTATTGTCTGAGTCCATGGGTTATGCATATATGCATACAAGTTCTTTGGTTTTATTTCATGTAAGGCACTTGGTTTTAAGTGTTTTCTACATTGCTATAGTGAGATTCTTCACTAGCCTTCTACAGTATTTCAACTTTAGTATGATACATATATCAATTCGTGGAATCTTGTCTAGAATGAAACATCAACTAAGTTCAAAAGTAATTATTTTTTTATTTCAACTCTATAAAGTATACAACAGGCACTCAGCAATTACAGCTGCAGGAAAAATACAGAGCAAACCAAAGCAGGTTAAGTTTATGAAAAAGTTTTAATCTACATCAAAAGAGTGCAAGTGGTCAATGACCATTTGATGACAGTTGTTGCATTCTGACTAACAAAGAACTCTTTCATGTAGAACAAATTGTAAGAGGGCAATCAAGTAGCCATAGCTGTAAGAGTACAAAAGAACTGACCAGTTGTAAAAACATCATACATTGAAATAAATTTGATAGATGATGCTCAAAGAAATGTCCCTCTACTGGGAAAGCCCAAACCTCTGAGTCACTGTTAAGGTCCCAGAGCTCTCTGTTGATGCAGGGGCCAAGAGAGAGGAGGGCTAACAACACACTGCCAATGTTTAGCTTTCTAGGACAGTTGAAAACTTGCCTCATAAATGATTTGCATACACAAGAACTCAGAGAAAGCATCCTGTTTTGTTGAGTGGTGCACCAAGGTACTTTTTCATCATTGGTGTCATAACGAGGTTTGGTTAGCAGTCATTTTCTAGTTTTCCTTTTGAGTTGGACCTTTGTTAATGGAGTCTATAAAATATACTAGAACTTGGTAGTACTAATCTTTTAAACTGAATCTGCACAGCTTAGCAAAACAGGAATACCTGTGTACAGACTGATAGTATGTCATATATTAATTTGACCTGCACATACATTTATACATTTCACAGAAATGACGCTGTATCTCATTAACAGATACACAGCTCTGGTACATTTAACAGAAATAAGAGAACGACTTCATCATTTCTGTAATTCATCAATATTATGTAATAAAGGCTTATAAATTGTTAGCAGAAAGAACTGTAAAACGCAGCAAGCTAAGAAAGGACAACATTTTGAGGTGTGTTTGTCTTTGTCATGCAGCATAACACCAAATTTGTTTGTTTTTTTTAAAATAGGATGCCATGAATTTAAGGCACTTGCAACAATGCCAGATAGCCAGGTCGTGTTCTAAACTATGGGACAGATGAGTAACAGTACAGTTGACATAATTTTCAATAATACTGACAATATGACATTAATTCAAGTCTACTTAGACCTAAAAAACATTATTCAGTACAAATAAAATAAAATAATAATGCTGTGAAACACTAAAAAAAAGTTATATGTACCACAAAATATCACATATTTATTTACATAAATATTTGTCTGTGGTCCTATTGTGAAAGAAAACATTGTTATGGATAATGCACAGATCACTTCTATTGCCTGAAATCAGTTCCAATAGCCTTAATTTCAATATGGTAGCTGACTTCCTTTTCTTTAAGATTACCATCAGTGTAGTCATTTAGAAACGAAACAAGGAAAATTCAATAGTTAAATGTATATATTATACATGTGTAGCTCACATGCATATCCAATAATTTTAAATTAAAGTTAGGATTTGTAAAGAATATAATGAACATAAATGTTTTAAATGCCACATGAATCTGATTCATATATTAATAACAAAGAAGGTACAAACATAAAAAAATCATTTATAGCAATTTTCCAGAAATAATTTTTTATAATGTATTTAATCTATCTCCTATACACTATTATGTTGTTCCTTTCCTTGGCAATTTTCTGTTTTCCTGTGAGTCAAGATACACAGAAAGCCCTTGTTTCCCATACATGAAATATTAACAAGAAAGCCAGTTAACCAATCAAATAGGTGGTCACTATTCTAACTTACCCAGATGCTCTTTAGTGTGGGAAAATAGAGATGGCATGAAAAATTGAGAAGTAAAGTGAGACACACGTTATGAAGCTGACCATGAATTTTAGCCCTAGTGTCTTCATTGAGACAAGATTTAAATCCTTAAAATTCAATGTTGAAAATTAAATGAATGTTCTCTGTTAGTAATTCTTGGATGGTGTAGTTCACTTTAATTGCTGGGTGATTGCTTTAGATATCCTAATGCAATTCCATAGATGACATGAACAAAGATGCAAAAACAAGTGGGAGAATCAACCTACAGGTACATGATTCTGAATACTACTGCTTCCTTCTCTATAGAACTTGCACATATTGGTTGTCTTAGACTTGAACCTCGGTTCCAAAATCCATAGTAAGTGCTAATCTCTGGGACAACTGAGATATTTGAAAAGTTGCAGGAGCATATTATTTTACTTAAGGACTAGGTAAAGTTAATATTCTAGCACGCCTAACCCACTCTATCTTTTAACAAAAATCACTGAACCTTAACTCTGTTAAATGGTATATTTTAAAAGTAATATAAAACTTCTAGCCGAAAACGGTTTGGCTCAGTGGTAGAGCATCGGTCTGCGGACTGAAAGGTCCCGGGTTCGATTCCGGTCAAGGGCATGTACATTGGTTGCGGGCACATCCCCAATGGGGGATGTGCAAGAGGCAGCTGTCAATGTTTCTCTCTCATTGACGTTTCTAGCTTTCTATCTCTCTCCCTTCCTCTCTGTAAAAAATCAATAAAAATATATTAAAAAAAACTTCTAAATTAGCATTTGTACCTAGACTTTAGATGGGTGTGTTTAATTTTATACTCTAAAATCTGATGAAGGAAGTGGCTATTTTGGGGACTAGATCAATTCTGAGAAATTGTAAGGGAGGGGAAAATTCAGTAACACAAAAATAATAACATCTTAGAATGAAAGTTTTAATTTGATTTTATTCTAATTATAATGTGCCCTTAATACTTTTATTCTCCAAATGTTTCTTAGACTATTATATTTTGATAAGATATACTCTAAAGTAGTCTTTGTATGGACAATTTGAACCAAAATAATAACATATGTCTTCTTGGATACAGTGTAATGATCTAGGTGGACATATTTTTATTTATTTATATATTTTAGCAGAAATGTCTATACTTGTTTGACTTAAAACACAAAACAAAACAACTCTCTACTGCAAAAATGCAAACGCTATGTACTATGCCAAACTCACACACAGTTCCAAATCAGGATGACAACTTGTAAGGTTATGTATTTGTCTGAGTAGATGCAATGCTATTTGTCTAGGAAAAGCTTTCCAGTGGATCTGTTGCTTATGACAACTATTAATAGTCAGCTGGCCTGCCAACAAAAGACTCAATTTGAATTGCTGATCCTTTTCCCCATGTGGAAAAAGCAAAAGCAGAGTGCTATTTTCAAACCCACCTGTTTCTAGGGAGTATGATATTTTCAGGGTTGTAATATTTTTGTTCTATTTAATTCACCTCATTGTTCTCCTCTCTACTTCCTTCCTACTTTCACACGGACTCATATCAGCTAATCAATATATGGCCAAGTTTTTTTCTTGTTCCATGACCTCACATAAGGAAAGTTTCTCATCTGGCTAATAGATAAATCTCAATGATTTTTGCTTTCTTCTTCCTTTTTATTTACTTTTTTTTTGTGGGGGAGAAAGAAGAGAAGGGGTTCAGGCCTAAGACAAGAAGCTAGTTCTAACAGTTTTTAATCACCTTTTTCCCTCAACCCAGACTATGTTGTATAAGTAAAATCTGACAGGAGTTTGGTTTGATAAATTCAGTGTAAATGCTCAAGTCTCTGGCTACACATGTAATGAGTAGAATTTGTGTTGTCTGTTCAGACACTGACATTTATAGATGAAAGATATACATAGCACCTATATAGTTTTTTATTTTATTTTTTATTTTTTGGATGAATCTTGATTCCCTCTCCATCCCATCCCACCCTGACCCCAAGGGTTTATCTTTATAAAAGGAAATATTTTAAGCCTCAGTTTGAGGGTGTGATAGGTAATAAATAAAAACCAATTGGCTGCTAGTCACTTATTTCCAGGACCATCTTGAAACACAATTATTTTCCAAAAAATATGAAATGGTTGTGGATTGCTTTTTCCCCACTCTGTCATGCCAATTTATCAAAAACAAATGAATATCATGCACATTGCTTTTTTTTTTCAATTCCTCTGTGAAAAACGCATATATACCTGCTATGAGAGTTCTCAGCAGAATCCATAACAGTTGTGCTTTTAACATGTCAATTTTTTAAAAAAAATCTGTCAGAAAGGAAAGGTCACATTCAGTCTTGTCATCAGCACTGCTGGGAAATGAGAACATGGGGCTTCTAGCACTGGTTTGACATGGACTCTGTGACCAAAAGAAGCGTGGTCCTCGTTGGTTCGGTATATACACCGGCCCGCGGTAACAGATCCTACAACCCTCACTTCAAGAAAGGGAAGAGCCCAGGTTTTGTACCATAGAAATCCATCGTACCCTATATATTATTATTTTTTATCTTCTCGATAGTTCTAGCAAGGTGCAGACTCTCTTACTAGATTGGAGTGTTTCTTACTGTCTTTCAAATTAGAGTCAGAGCGAAGCAAGATCATTGCGACAATAGAAAACATCTTTTTTGTTTTTTTCTGGCGAGAGGCTTTTGCTTCAGGACCACCATGTCAACTGCTATGTTCAGGTTCAAACGAAAAACATGTAAAGAGCGCTACTGTCGTCTAAGCAATAATAAGTCCTAATGCCACTGTGGTTACTGGAGCAGCATCGATCAAAGGCATCATGGTGACCCCGAGCACTAATCTTCTCTCTCTCCCTCAGGTTTGCTGGCAGCTGTGTCTCAGAAAAGAAGCTGGCTTCAGCAAGGCAGAAGCAGGTAAGAGAAATAGCATTAGAAGTCTATGTCCCATCCTGAGTTGTCGTCGGGGGGTGGTTCGTCATTGTCCTCAGGGAAACTGTCAAAATTGCTTGTGTCTGTGGGTGATGCAACCTGGAAATGAGAGAATGAACAGTAACCAGGTGCCGGAATGTTTATCAAGATCCCACGGTAGATCTTAAAATAGCATTCTTTATTTGTTCCCTAATCACATGGCTGTGTTGTTTCATTTATTTTTGCTTTTCGAGCGTCTACTGGGTAGCAGGTTTTGTGCTCGGGGGTAATGGGAGTCACAGTGGTGAGTACAAATAAAGAATGGTTCTTGCCCTCATGGAGTTTTTACTCTAGTAAGAAATATATTGTGTGATCATATATTGTGTGGTTATAATTATAAAAGTCTATCATCTATAGACTTTTGGGATTATTTGTTGTACATTTTGGTCGGTGCTATAAAGAAAAAAGGTGCCAGGTGAGTATGAGTGTCATTATGGAAAGCCTCTTTGAGAAAGTATTCTTTTAAACCTACGAATCACTGGGTTTGATAAAGAGGGAATGGCACAGGCAAAGGCCCTGAGCTGAGAGAGTGCTCCATGCTGAAGTAACCAAAAGAGGCCAACGTGGCCGCTAAGAGAGAAGGGGGATAGGATGAGAAATATGTAAAAGGGGAGGAGTCTGGTTATATAGAGCCTTTTAGGCCATTTTAAGGATTTTATATAGTTATTCCATATAGAATAATGAGCCATTTCCAAACTCAAGCAAAACTCTTGCAAATTTACTGGGCACAGTTCAATCTGTAGAGCATTGGTAAAAGTAGTGAAGAAGTATACTTATTTTCCCTCTATTCTAATATTTAAAACCATTTACAGATAAAATGTTGTAATATTAATTAAAAAGTACCCATTTAATATTATCACTACATAAATGGAGACCCATGATAAATTTATTTTGGGATAGTTTAGGCTTGCTATTTATTCTTTCAAATTTCTAATTTTACTCTTGGTCTAAAAACAGAACTTCATGCAACTTCATGAATGCAATTAGCATTTGTAATGTGAGACATGGTAATGCCATTTCCCCTCTGTTTGTGAATAAACATAAACATTAGCATGGAAATGATTCTTTAGAAGTAGGGAAATGTTTCTGTATAAAGACCATTCTTGAGTTAGTCCAAGAAGACAGACATACATAATTTAAGGGGGCTCAGGAATACAAATCAGCCCTCTCCCCTTAGTTAAGATGATGCAGCACATTTTATTAGACATATGCAGCACAGAATAAAAAATAGAAATGTGATCAACTGAAATCTATTTCAACTTAATAAAACACCTTAGTCTCCTTAGTGGACTGGCTTTTTAACAAAAGAGTTTGAGAAATTTTTCCCCTCTCTCCTACAGTTTGATAAAAAAAAAAAAAGAACATAGTTGTGTCCGATAGTGCCTCAAAGTAATATGGGGACAGTATTTCATCTTTTTATGGCGGGGTTCTATTCCATTGTATATATGTAAATATCTTTAACCAATCATCCATTGAAAGACACTTAGATTGTTTCCTTTCCTTGGCTTTCGTGAATAATACTACAATAAATATAGGAGTACAAATACCTTTATACATTCAGTGTTTCAAAATTCTGGGGGTAGATATCCAGAAGAAGGATGGCTAGGTATTATAATTGGTCTATTTGGAATTTTTTAAGGAACCTCCATACTGTTTTCTATCGAGCTTGCACCAATTTACACTCCCACCAGCAATGCACCAGGGTTCTCTTTTCTCCACTTCTGCTCCAACAATTTTTGTCTTGTCTTGTTGATAATAGCCACTCTAACAGCTGTGAGGTGGTATCTCATTGAGATTTTGATTTGCATCCCCCTCATAGCTGGTGAAGTTGAGCACCTCTTGATGTACCTGTTGGCCATCTGGATGTCTTTCTGGGAAAGTGTCTGTTCAGGTCCTTTGCCTGTTTTTTAATTGGTTAGGATTTTTTGTTGTTGTTGAGTTGAACGGGTTCTTTGTTTTTGGATAAAGAACCCTATCAAAGGTAACATTTGCAAATATCTTCCCCCATTTAACTGGTTGCCTTTTTTGTTGATGGTTCCTTTTGCTGTGCAGAAAATTTTAATTTGATGTAGTTCCATTCATTTATTTTCACTTTTACTTCCCTTGATTTTAGGGTTAAGTTCACAAAAACCCCTTTGAGACCCAGACCCATAGTTTAGAACCTATGTTTTCTTCTATGCATTTTATTGTTTTAGGTCTTATAGTCAAATCTTTAATCCATTTGGAATGAACTTTTGTATATGGTGTCAGATAGTAGTCTAGTTTCAGTCTTTTGCATGTGGCTTTCCAGTTTTCCAAACAGTGTTTATTGAAGAGGCTTTCTTTATTGTATGTTTTTGAACATTTTATGGGAAATTAGTTGCCCATATATGTGTGGCTTTATTTCTGGGCTCTCAGTTCTCTTCCATTTTTGTGTGTCTATTTTTCTGCCAATACCATATTGTTTGAATATTGTGGCTTTGTAATATAGTTTGAAGACAGGAACAAGGGAGGAGAAACTATGTGGGGGCATAAATGAAACATATCGACCAGGAATCCATAGCTGTTAAAAATTGTTGCTGGTCTGCTGACCATACCCTACCACAAAACAGAGAGTAAAGGAATGCTTTGATGTGGTTCTGATGGGTTAGCCCAGTGGTCGGCAAACTGCAGCTCTGTTGACTAAAGAGTTTGCTGACCAATGCTAGACTAAATGTTACCGTGTAGTTGAAAGCTGTGAGACTTAGGTGATTGTGGCATATTGTGAGCAAAGAAGTAAAGGGTAATATATAGTGGTCGGCAAACTCATTAGTCAAAAGAGCAGTTTGCCAACCACTGGGTTAGACTATTACAGACTGAGCAAGATAAAGAGTAAACAGGATTCATAAATAAAAAATAACATACATTGCCCTAAATCACCCCAGTATACTCACATAATATACTGAATACTAAACACACGTGAAGAAATTTAAAGTATACATGTTTCTAGTAATAACTCATGAATATGACGAATTCATTAAAGTTGTTGATTAATGTACTCTTATTCGTAACGATATATATAGTTTATAATGAAAAAAAAAAACACACACACCTGCTTGCTGGAGATTCATTATACTCTTCTGTCTATGCCAATATATATTTAATACTTGCCATACTAAAAGTCAGCTTTTATTCACAAATAAACTTAAATGAGAATGAATAGTCAAAAAAGGTAATGTTAAAATACATATATAATAACCATCTCCCAGCTCATCTGTTTTTAAGCTTGGGTTTTACATGTAATTATTTTAATGTGGTACTTCTGTTGTCTTTCCAGTTTTATCTTATGATCAGATGAAATAATAGATTTTTGATGACGGACAAATGCTTTCCTGTGGACAAACTAGACACATGTTTGATGACTGACAAACAAACAGGAAGGTCTACTTACACTCGGTATTATCGGAGGTGTCAAGGTGCCTTTTCTTAAGCCTTCCCAATTAAAGCCCTCAAACCATCTAGGACAGGAAAAAAGTAAGAGTTAAATGCATTTTACCTCAGTTCAAACCTTTTCAATGCAACATATATGATGCTCATGATTGACGGAAAGTGGTTAGGGAAACATCTTCAAGGTGACAACAATGCTTTCCATTTAATTATTTTGTGGAATGCATCTTTCAAGAAATTGAAATGTCAGCTCTTTAAACACCACTTAGAAAGCAATTCCTTTTGATTCTAGTAAATTCCATCATAATGTCTGGATGACCTTGTTTCTATACTATCATTATAACTTTAAAAATGTCATAACATGTTTGGCCCTGTGTCTTACTTACTGAATATTTTATTTTAAGCAGGCAGAATCAGGCATGAAAAGTCCGGACAGAACATTATCTTTTTTGTTACCGATTCATTAGGGAGCCTCAGTTAATTAACCTTTCTCATCTCATTTTCCTCTTTTTCTTTTTTAATACAGTGAAGGTATTTTGTGGACAGTTTTTCTAATAAAATGTGGGCCAAATAACACAAAGCATTTTTTGTTTGTTAGATTGGTTGTTGTTTTGTGTTTCTCTTTTTGAAAGAGTTCTCCATTAGCAAATGCTTACACCAAACTCTTAGCAGAACTTTTAGATACTCACAGATATTTCAGTATATACAGTAAGTTACTCTGGTAGGGATATGAATTTTGTGTAAGTGTTACAGAAACAGGTGAATAGAGAAAATAGTTTTGTCTTAGGTTAGTTCTAGAACATCCATCAATATACATAAAATCTGTTATTTAAGATACTCTTTTTTTAAAGATTATATTTTGTACTTGTTTTTCTTTTTCTTATTATCTAATTAGGAACTGGTTGGAAAAACATTTTAATATTTTGGTTTTAATCTAGGAAATATGGGCATATGGTGAAAGACTTTTTTTTTTTTTTTTTTTTTTTTTTTTTTTAGTATTTTGGTAGAAAACTGAATCCTTGAATTAAAATATACATTTCCTCTGGATAAGTTACATAACCACTAACTTAAAAAAACAAAACAAAACAAAACAAAAAACAGACTGGGGAAGTACTTGTCAGGTTTTCCAAACTCTGAAACTTATATTACAAGGAGAGAATACTTACTTGTGCTTTTGAATGTCTTTCACTCCATTTTTCAAATTCCCTAATCTTTCTGATGGATTATCCCTAAAAATAAAAAATAAAATTGATAAAAAATCTTTTCTCCCCCCCGCCCCCACATTACTAGCTTTTCAAAAATAATATGGTTGAAATGCTTACCTGCATAGTTTTTTAATTAAATTAGCAGCATTTTTGGCAATCTTCTTTGGAAATTCTATCATGTCAATCCCTCTCAATATGATGTTATAGGTTTTCATAGGATCTGGGCCTGAGAAAGGTGGGCTGCAAGAATGGAGACATAAAAAGAGATTTATTTTCTAAATAAGAAAACATACTTTGTTACAACTTCATAAAGGACATCAATTCTTATTTTTATTTTGGGGCTTACATTGGGAAGATAATAGGAACCTTTCTCAGGAAGCCACTTAGGAAGACCACAAATGTGTCAAGTTTGCCTGTTGTTCTCATTTCTGTATGACTGGAATGAATAGATGTCAACTGAATCTAAAGCTAAAACTGCAAATAAATTAATCTTTCCGGAGTTAGACTGTGAATACTTGAACAAAACCAATAACTAAGAAAGGAATTGGTGTGAGTAGAAGAGGGTTCTGGTTGTGAGACAGGTAGAAAATGGGTCCTGTTGGGACCTTTCTGATTATTAATGTCAAGTGAGGCTAGCTACCCTGAAGAACAGAATAAGCAAGGTTAGAGGGAAGGGAGCAAGGGGGTGGGGGAGACTTAGCCTCCTTAACTAGGATTTGTTGCTTTAGAAAACCTCTCACCAGATCATTTATTTTACTTGTTCTCAATTCTTGGTGTTTAGGAGGTTACATGGCTCATAGAAAACTCTACCATGTTCTCTGAAATCGTGTCATTATTGCCAATCTACCTTTATTTGCCCTGGTACACTTGGCATATCTGTGGGAGATGGCCTGCACCTTAGTTCCTCTACCACTCTGTAATGGTTAACTGGTCTATATATTAGCATGCATTGCTTTTTAAAGATCTATCTATTTCCAACTTTTAATCCAATCAGAAGTTATGAGATATGACAGGCAGGACCATATCACTTTGGGGCCATCCTCTTAGTCCAAGGTAATACTTAGTAACCATTCACACCCAGATAACTACCCAGAAGTGTAATTGCTGTATCACAAGGTAGTTGTGTTTTTTATCTTTATTGTTGAAAGTTATACAGATGTACCCTTTTTTTTTTTAACCATTGAACCCTTCTAGCCCACCCCTACCTTCACCACACTATTGTCTATGTCCACAGGTTATGTATATAACTTATTTGGTTAATCTCTTCCCACCCACCCCCACCTTCCCTCTGAGATTCATCAGTCTGTTCCATGTTTCTATGTCTCTGAGTCTATTTTGTTCACCAGTTTATTTTGTTCTTTAGATTTCCCATATGAGTGAGATCATGTGATACTTATATTTTTTTTAACTGACTTATTTCACTCTCTACATCCCTACATGCTGTCTCAAAGGGTAAGAGATTCTTCTTTTTTACTGCTGCAAAATATTCCATGCTATAAATGTACCAGTTTTTTTTATCCATTCATCTACTGATGGGCACTTGGGCAGTTTCCAGATCTTAGCTATTATAAATTGCACTGCTATGAATATAGGGGTAGATACATTCTTTCTGATTGACATGTCAGGTTTTTAGGATATATAATATTCCTAGAAGTAGGATCACTAGATCAAAAGGAAGTTCCATATTTAGTTTTTTTGAGGAAATTTCATATTGTTTTCCATAATGGCTGCACCAATCTGCATTCTCACCAGCAGTGTACTGAGGTTTCCTTTTCTCTATATCCTCACCAGCATCTGTCATTTCTTGATGGTAGACACTCTGACATATGTGAGGTAATTTCTCATCATTTTGATTTGTGTCTCTCATATGATTAGTGACATTGAGCATTTTTTTTCCCCATATGTCTCTTGGCCTTCTGTATATCCACTTTAGAGAAGTGTCTATTTAGACTTTTTAGGCATTTTTAAATTGGATTGTTTGTTTTCCTTTAGTTAAGTAGTATGAGTTCATTACATATTTTGGATAGTAACACCTTATTAGATATATCATTGCCAAATATGTTCTTTCATACAGTAGGCTCTTTTTTCATTTTGTTGATGGTTTCCTTTTTACTGTGCAGAAGCTTTTTATTTTTATGTAGTCCCATTTCTTTATTTTCTCCTTTGTTTCCCTTGCCCTAGGAGATTTATTTATCTGGAATCATATTGCTATGAGAGCTATCTGGGATTTTGCTGCCGGTTTTGTTCTAAGATTTTTATGGTTTCTTAACTTAGATTTAAGTACTTTAACCATTTTGATTTTATTTTTGTGTATGGTGTAAGTTAGTGGTCTAGTTTTATTTTTTTGCATGTATCTGTCCAATTTTTCCAACACTATTTATTAGAGACTGTCTTGACTCCATGTATGCTCTTGCCTCCATTGATAAATATTGAGTATAATGATTTGGGTTGATTTCTGGGTTGTTTGTTCCATTCCATTGGTTACATGCCTGTTCTTGTGCCAGCACCAGGCTATTTTGTTTATAGTGGTTTTGTAGTATAACTTGATATCTGGTATTATGATCCCTCTAACTTTGTTCTTCTAAAGATTGCTGTGGCTTTCTGGGGTATTTTTTGGTTCCATATAAAATTTTGGAGTATTTGTTCTAGATCTTTGAAATATGCTGATGGTTTTTGATAGGGATTGCATTGGGTAAGTATGGACATTTTAATGATGTTGATTTTACTAATCCATGAACATTGTATATTCTTCAATTTGTTTATGTCTTCATCTATCTCTTTTTCAACATCCTGTAGTTTTTCAAGTACAGGTGTTTATCACCTTGGTTAACTTTACTCCTAAATATCTTAGTATTTTTTGTTGCAATGATAAATGGGATTTTTTTTTTAGTTTCTTTTTCTGAGAATTCACTTTTGGACTATAAAAATGCCACCATTTTTTGGGGTGTTAATTTTGTATCCTGCTACAGTGCTGAATTCATTTATTAAGTTTAGTAGGTTATCGGTCGAGTCTTTAGTACAACATCATGTCATCTGTGAATAATCAGAGTTTCACTCCTTTCCAATTTGGATGCTTTTATTTTTTCTTCTTTTCTAATTACTCTGGCTAAGACTTCTACTGTGTTTCCCTGAAAATAAGACATCCTCCGAAAATAAGACCTAGCGCATGGAAAGATAAGACATCCCCTGAAAATAAGACCTAGCACAACTTTGGGAGAAAAAATTAATATAAGACACTGTCTTATTTTTGGGGAAACAGGATAGTACTATCTTAAATAAGAGTGGTGAAAGCAGATATTCCTGTATTATTCCTGTTCTTAGAGAAATGGTGTTAGGTTTGTCTATTGAGTATGATATTGGCTGTAGGTTTGTCATATATGGCCTTTGTTATGCTGAGATATGATCTCTCTGTTCCACTTTGCTGAGAGTTTTTATCCAAAATGAGTTTTGAATTTTGTCGAATGCTTTTTATGTGTCTACTGATTTGATCATGTGATTTTTGTCTTTCAATTTGTTTATCTGATGTATCATGTTTATTGATTTGTGAATACTATACTAGTCTTGAACCCCTGGAATAAATCCCACTTGATCATGGTATATTATCAAGTCAGTTCTGGCAATATATTAAAAAGATAATATTTTATTGAGGATTTTAGTATCTATGTTCATCAGGGATAATGGCCTGTAATTCTCTTTCTTTGTAGAGTCTTTATCTGGTTTTGAAATTAGGATAATGCTGGCCTCATAATTTTTTTATGATAATAAGTATTTATGGTAATAAATTAAGTTCAGCTTTGGCCATTCCACACAGATTGCTTTATTTTTATTATTGCTTTTCTCTCCCATAATTCCTATGACCCTATGGTTATTTAGAAAAGTGCTTTTTAATTTTTTAAGTGTATAGACTTTTTTAATTTTAGTAGATGATAGTAGAGTTTTCTTCTATTAATGATATAATTGATTTTAATAGCAATTCAAAGAACACCAGAAATTTATCCACCCATACACATGTATATTAAATTCAACCTATTTTCAAATCTTATATTAATTTGTCACATATTTAAAAATTTACCTTTCTGTCAATAGCAAAAATTAAATTATCTGTGATTTAACATAATTTTTTTAAGATCAACTTAGAAGTTTCAAGAGCAATAATTTAAAGTGCCTACAAATAAAATTAAAAGCACAGATAACTATTCCTGGAAATGATAGGAAGCACTTCACAAATCCTAATGGCTACTATGTTCTAGACACCCTTCTAAGTGCTTCATACATTGATTGAATCCTAAGAGCAATGAGGCTCAAGGTCTTTAGTCTTTCTCTCATATTTACTGTAGCGACTGAATTATCTTAACTAATTCTTTCACATCCTACTTCATGCTCATCCAGTTCTTCCCACTGACCCTATCTTATTTTGGGCTCTCAGCTTCTACATCTAAATTATTGAAATAGTATTCAAATTAGCCTCCCCATCCACGTTCCAATTTGCCCTAAACATTTCTGCTAGTTTTTTCCCCTTAAATATGACAATGTATGCCACTCCTTTGTCAGAAAATACTCAATGATTCCCTCTCTGGATGGAGTGCAAGTTCAGCAATTATGATCTTTGAAAGGTGACTAATTGATTTCCCATCATTTTTTAAAATATGAACCATCTTCCTGAATTTTCTCACTACTGTTTCTGTATTTGTCATGTCTCACTTCCAAGAATGCCCATTTCCATTGCTTGCTCTCTGTATTTTTACTCTAAGGCTCAGCTGCAATCTTTTCTTCTTGAAAATCAGCTTCTGAACTCTATAATGATCCTATTACTCATTTTCCTGAGCGCATGGCTTGGTGGTACTTTTCCTCATGAAGCTTATAGTCTCTTTTATATCTGCTAGTATCCATAGTACCCTTTTTAGTTATTTATGACCGTAGCCTTATTACATAAAAAACCTGCAAAGCATTCAAATTTAATTTAGATAAAACAACTGCTAACAGGTTCTTTAATTTATAAAAATAGTTGACCCTGGATAAATGCTGTATTGTGGGATAAATGACTAAGCTCAAAGATCTTACAGAAAGATACTGGGTCATTCCATATTCATGTACGTATAAAGAATTAGCAATAATGAGACTAACAATTGATACTGAGTTTGTTGCCCTCATCAGACTCACTTGAAATTTTCCTCAATGAGCATAATGAATTGAAGTATAATAATACTGTAATCAATAAAGAAAGAAAATTATATTAAAAAAAGATATGTTGAAAAGCATTTTAAGATGATCTAATGAGAGTGACAAAGGCAGGCTTGTGTAGCTGTTTTCTGGTCTATGTTCACCATCAGTTCTCTATCAATGTCCATACCTGCCAGTCAGAAGTTCATACATTAGAATTCCCAGGGACCAGTAGTCGGCTGAAATGTCGTGGCCTTTGTTCAGGATGATCTCTGGGGCTACGTACTCTGGAGTCCCACAAAACGTCCATGTTTTCTTTCCAAATCCTATTTTCTTTGCAAAGCCAAAATCCACCTTACAGAGAGAGAAAAACATGGTATCTTAAGCCTTTTTTTTTGTTTAATTTTAAAAGCAAGAAATCCCTCTGATGAAGGACGCTGCTAACAATAATGAAAAAATAAATAAAAACTGATGTGTGTTATAGACCTGTCTTCTAAAAAGTCATCTATATTTCAAATAAAGCCTGCCTGATCAAACTTGGTTTCAATAGGGTAAGTTGAAATTTGAGTAGAAGATAAAATTCACATCATTAAAATAAAGGAAATTTTTCTTTCTAGAAATACTTTCCATTTTTTCTCTTATTTATGCCAATGGCTATTGGGGCATAAATAAATAATTTCTCATTTACTCAAAATTTTTAAAAAGACTAGTTGGACCTACTTGACATATTTTCCAGCATATACATGATACATGATTCCTGCTGGATTTAATGGAATTGAGAATTCAATTAATATTAATTCAGAAGACAATTTACTGTTGGAGAAGCTAATAACCAAGTTATGGGACAAATGACTGTTCTTGGTAAACACAGATATAAAAATTAAGCTGTTTCTTTTATTTTTCTAAAAACCGTTTGAAGGAAACTTAAATGCAAAAAACATATATTTTTTCTAAACAATTTGGTTGAGAATATAAATAATTGCCATTTATTTAATTTCTTTGGAAATCTTATGCTGAATTAAAAGTTTTAAAGTTAAAATATTGAAACAGGTACAGACAAGAATGAAAGCTTCAAAAGTCATGCATTTAAAAGCATAAATAAATCAGAACTTACCTTCTACAATAGGTCTTTACAGTTCTTGACTATATTTTTAAAAATATTATTATTACTACTGCTATTATTATTAACATGGTATGGAAATTGTCTGCAAAGCCCATTGTTTTTCCATTTTCTCCAATCTTAATTATTAACATGATTAATAATTTTCCATAATATAAAACCCCATTTACTTTGGATGCAGAAAGCCAGCTAGAAAAAACTTCTAACTCCTTTGGGTCTAGGAAAACATGCCAGCAAGCATGAGTCCATGTCAGTATGTTTTGCCAGGATGTTATTAATTCAAACCTCGTCAATTTAATTTCTCATAACTCTTAAGAAATTGTTACTTGAAAATAGTAACACTAAACCTGCTTCTTAAGAAAAGTTATGATACGTAAAGTGAATATTGAGATTTTATGTTAGTAACTGAACACAGATTTATAAAGCAGTATTTTAAAACTGCAGGGCAGAGACTGTGGAAAGTACACTGACCAGTTTGGCGTAACCTCGATGATCCAGGATGAGATTTTCTGGCTTGAGGTCCCTGTAGATTATTCCTTTGGAATGCAGATAGGCAAAAGCTTCTACCACACATGCTGTGTAAAATCTGGTTGTAGAGTCTTCAAATGAACCTCTGAGATACAGAATATGGGAAGAAAAGTATATGAAAAATTCATTTATTTCATAAGGTTTTATTTCCCATTTCACTATACTCCTGTACCAAAATTTGACCCCAGAGACCAAATCCTCCTGGCCAAATGTCATATGACTGCCACTGCATTGGGTTGTCAAACACACCACATTTCATGTACTTGGTGGCTTTCTCCCAGTGGCTCACTACCATCCAAAAAGCTCCAATTGCCGAAAAACGGTTTGGCTCAGTAGATAGAGCGTCAGCCTGCAGACTGAAAGGGCATTCCATTAAGGGCATGTACCTTGGTTGCGGGCACATCCCCAGTAGGGAGTGTGCAAGAGGCAGCTGATTGATAATTCTCTCTCATCGATGTTTCTAACTCTCTATCCCTCTCTCTACCTCTCTGTAAAAAAAAATCAATTATATATATATATATATATTTTTTTTTTTTTAAGCCCAATAACAGTGGTGGCCAGAAGACAGACAAATCTTATTATAGAGCTTGTCTACCAACAGGTGTTTTTCAAAGGACAGTTTTAGAGTTCAGTCATATTTATTCATACAGGGCCTCTAAATAGTATAGATATGATTCATGAGAATGTATAATACATAGAAGTTAATATTTTCAAGGGCCACTTTGGAAATGAGTTGTGAGGCTTCTGATACAATCATATCACAAGCGAGTATTCTTCTGTGTTTGCAACTGATGTCAGCAAGACAAACAATACCTATTTCTACACCTGCTGCCTTCTTATGAGGAAGACAACATGGGGCTCGTGTCCAAGATAATTAGAAAGAAAAAGGTAATGGGGTGGGAAAGTTTATTAGTAAACCTGATTATGATGTTGAGCAGGAAAGCTCTCCTTATTTCTGCCTCTCTCATGTATTTCTTTAATGAAATAATAAAAGGAAAAGCTTTGGAATCTAAGGTTAACTCCTAGGTTCTAGGCCAGAACCTTAGACTTTAACTATTTTTAGTGGAATTGCTTACAAAGATCCACTATGATTTTTTCCTCTTTTCCCAGTAGTGAATGCAATTTATTCATTTTATGATAATTCCAGATCATTAGTGTGAACATCAGCTCTTGAGGCGCTCAGATGTAGGCTGAGAGGCTAGACGCAGGCAGTATTAGGGTGAGCAACAAGGAGTCCCAAATTGTGCTTTCACAAGAGTCACTGAGGCCAGTTTGCATTATGATGACATTTGCTTCGTTTTCAATACTGAGAAGTAATGTCTAGCACAATAAACCAGTGAATCCAAGGCTAACGCAGACAGCATCAGGACATTTAAAAACAATAAACATAGTCTTTTAGAAAAGTATTCTTCACTACAACCCCTAAGATCCCTTGAGTTGTCACTTAAATGATTAGCTCTTCCCCAAAGAAATCTTTCCTTCGAAATACAATTTGAGGCATGATGCTATCTATTCTTAAGAACTAGAATCTTAACAGTGATTACTAAGATTTTAGTGTCTCTCTTCAATATTATCTGAACAACTGTGAATTATAAGGACAAGAAAAAGTTTAAAAAGAATTGCATCTGTATTAGGAAATGAGTAACAGACTTTATGCTGCGGCTGTCTTCTGAGGTGGAGCTATCTTTGCCAAGTTAACGTTATGTAATCCTATGTATTGGGAAAGGGGTTAAAGTATAATAGTACCTGTAAGGTCCTTTCTTCTCTGTGCTTAGTGAGGTGGGTTTGTTTATTGAGCAGTATATTCCTTTCAACTGAAGAGATTACTTGCATTAAATAGTAAGCATCCATAATAGATCATTACTAATCTATATGTAATATATAATAGATCATTAGCACAGAGCTTTAACTACCATGTTTCCCCGAAAATAAGACATCCTCCAAAAATAAGACCTAGCGCATGGACAGATAAGACATCCCCTGAAAATAAGACCTAGCACAACTTTGGGAGAAAAAATTAATAAAAGACACTGTCTTATTTTCGGGGAACAGGGTAGTTGAGTGCTGTATATGACTCCAAGTCTCCTCAATGGAGAGCATTACAAAGCAAAAGCAAAGCCCAAGCAAAACAAACATAACATGAATTAGAGCCTTGCCCTATTTTACATTAGTTTTAATAAGAGAATCAATTACTTCCTTGTATCAGGACTGTCTAAATATAGTTTGGGTGGGCCTTTTGAAAAGCTTACAAATTCTTGATTACTTTTAGGAGAGATGATGTCTGGAGCTGTGACTTTGGACAACATATCTGTTTTTCTTACTACTCAGTTGTTAACGGAACCAAATGAACAAATGCATTGTTAATGTTGCAAGCAGAGTATAAGCCCTTCTGTGAGGTACCAATTTCATATGAAAGTTCTAATGAATGGTATTCATATTTATATTCTGAATAAGCTGATCATTAGCAGGAAGATGAAAAAAAAATCTTAATATAACTAAAGTCATCAGAGAAGGCGCCATGTTAGGAATATGGAATCTAAAGCAAGAATCCTGAGCTCAAATCTGGGTTTCACCTACTGTGCAACTAACTGTACCTTTCAGGATCTTAGTGTTTCCTCTGCAACATTAGGCTCATAAGACATTGCCTCATTTGGGTATCATGAGCATATAAGAATCGATGCATATATTTAAAATAAGTACCTAGCATCTTAGTAATATTCAATATATAATAGCCATTAAAATTGAGCACTAAAACATCTCTTCTTTAGCCACTATCTTAATGTAGGAAAAAAGACCCTTTACACAACAGGTCTAAAGTCTTTAGAGATGGGAATAGGTAGTTTACAACACCAATGATCACTGTTTTGAATATTTGCTGCTTCTGGCTACAAGGGCTAACTAACTCCCACAAGTCAGCTTTGAAGAGTCTAATGCTAACGTCTGTTCTTTTTTACATTTTCTATGCTTCTCCCAAATGTATGGAGAAATTACTCTTTTATTGCCTGCCAATCAAAAACTCTCCCTATTTTTCATCAGAAAGTGAAATGACCACAAATCATTTGAGCCTTCAGTTCTTGATGGCCCTATTTATTGTTTCATGATTTCTCTTCTACTGAGGCATTTGGCACTTGGAAGGTTTCTAGAAAGCTGGTTTCCATTCATTGAACAGATCTATATTGATAATCTCTCACAAATAAATACATTTGTAACTGATTTTAAAAAATCAAATGAAAACCTTGCCTCAAATGTGTTTCCATGTTATATGACAAATCAACAATATATAGACACACAATATTCATCAGCAACATGGCTTCATCACTAAATTTTAATGGAGGCAATTTGAGAATTTTAAAATATTCCCTTAGTAAAGCAGTCACTCAAAGGGTGACTCAAAATGAAAAATTGCTATTGGAATTGGAAATGACAATATAAATTCAAGCTAAAACAGAAATGACTACTTGTTTTATCAACACTTAGAAAGTGGCTTAAAGAAATAAATCACTGCCTCATAGATTTTTGAAATGATAAATTAAGCATTGACTGTTCTGTCATTTTAATTAAAACAAGTAAGGAGTAGGTTCTTATACCTTTTAGAGAATGGGCTGCTATTTTAGCTAGGTGGCAGTATATAACAAGGATTGTATTGAGAGAATTAGATGCTTATATATACATATTGATAGAGACATATTAAAATTTAATCATAATGTGCAATCTACCTGTCTTAAACTGAATCTAGAAATGGCTGAATATAACAGACAAAGCATGTCTCACCCAAAGATAAATTTCCTCCTTTCCACTGACTGGTAACAACATCATTAATGAGTTCATAAACATGAAGGGTCTCACAACCTGTGCAGGTTTCTTGCCGCTTATAGTTTTGTGGGTGGGGGTAAATTCTTATAAAAATAGACTTATTTCCTTGAAGTACTTTCAATTGGTACCATCTATTATTAGATCATCTGAGAAGGAATATAAATAATCACCCTCCGTAGGGCTTCCAGTCAAGACAGGTAGTAGGGAAATGCTGTAAGATTAACCAACTATAAAGATTAAAATACAAAAGTAGGAAGATCTTGTGTAACTGCAACAATAAATTGAGGGGTGCACACAAAAGCACCCACAAAAAAAGACAAAAACATTAACATGGAGGTAATGAGTAAAAGTTGTAGTGATTGTAGAATGTGTTTGTACTTGAGCCACCATCAACTTAAAATGGACTGAGATAAATATAGGTTGGTTTATATGAAACTCATGGTATACACAACCCCTAATCTATATAAGATATTTAGGAAAGAAAAAGAAAGGAATCAAACCATAACACTAGAAAGTTGTCAACATATAGGAGAAAAGAGCAAGAGAATAAAGAAGGAACAGAGATAACCACAAAAATAACTGTAAATGGACTAAATACTTCAATTGAAAGACATAGGGTTTAAATGGTTGGATTTAAAAAATAAGACCCATCTGTAGGCTGCCTACATGAGACCCACTTCAGATTAAAAGATACACAGAGACTGAAAGTAAAGGGATAGAAAAACGTATTTCATACAAATGGGAAAAAAAGTTGCCAATTCCTTAAGCATTATGGAACAAAGGTGAATAAAATATAGTTTGTGCTGACCTATTCCATATAATAGAACAGAATTTGTGGAGAGCAATGTCACAAACTAGAAGATAAACAATGATAGCTAAAACAAGAGTAAACAGGGAAATAATTGCAACAATTAATATTTTAGTGCTATAGTTTATATCTCAAATATAAGAAAAGTATTCAAATTTTTATTTCTTGATTACAAATAAAAACTGCTCTATGTTCCTTTTCTATGCTGATGAGAAGAAAGAGTGAGAGGCAGTAAATGCTCATTTCAGTTACTAGGTGAGAGGAGGGTGTCTGTTGCTATTGGAGATCTCCTGAGTGAAATCCTCAAGCTTCAGAGGTACTACCATATCAGTAAAGAATAAGGTCACACAAGGCTCTTTTAAAATAAACCCAAATCACTTCTTTTATGCTTTCCGAATAACATATCCCTTAACTGCTTCTTTCCCAAGACACAAGAAGAAAATTGAATGAATTGAACAATATGATTTGTTTATTCTAAGGGTATTTTCATATAAACTGTGATCATTTATGCCTCCATGCATTTCTCCCAATATAAATTGCTTCTTTATAGTAACCCCTTGCAGCCCTAACCAGTAAAAATACATCTCACTCACAAGCCTTGGCTGGCAATTATGAGCCAACAAAATGTAAACTCAAGTTAAACAGGGAGAAGTAGAAAATAATATTTTCTTTCAAAAAATAAGCTGAAATTTGGATGCCTATGCAAGATAGATGCCTCATGAGTGGACTTTAGATATTTTTATTGTTTTTGTTGTCTAGTTTTATAAGGTAATAGAAGTGTAAAATAGGTGTTCCTTTCTTTATGTGGCTTGTTACTGCTTTCATGTTTACTTGTAAATCTCCTATTTAGAACAGAGTAGAGATTTCAAATAAATCAGTGTCCTGAAAGGTTAAGTCAAAATAATATAGTAGAACCATATTAGGATAAACCAGTCATTAACACACAAGTGAGAATATTAAGTTTGTGCAAGAGCCTGTAAGTTTCAAGAAGTGAGAACGTATGTGTTTACCCTACCAAAATGTCTGGCACATAATCTGTACTCAAATATTAACTAACAATAATGTAATAATCCACTGTGATCTAATAACCCAGTACATATTCTACTATGATTTAATAACCCAGTACATATGTTTACCCTGCCCCCTAATGCCAGCATGATATATTCTCTTATATGCTTATTTACCTTTTGTAAGATACCATAATACAATTAGGAATGAGACTTTAAATCAATATCTTGCAAAGAACTACTTGTTCTATTCTGGGATATCTACAAAATAACAAGTCAAAAAATAGCGGTGGCATTCTGGGAACATCAAGGCTATGGTAGAGTTTCAGAAAGAGTGGGAGGAATGAGACTATAACAAAGAGATAAAAATATGTCTAAAGCTGAATATTAAAAGGAATAAGGATGAGTTTTAAATGTTATTGGATCATAAATAAAAAATGATCATTTATAGAAAAAAATTGTTGTCTTCCTTTTAAATAAACATTTAGGATTGGTAATCTCCTGAGACATTTTATAGATTTTTAAAGAAGATTGTGTGCTAACTTTGTAAATATAAGATGGAAAATTAATTTTGCATAATTGAAAGATACAAATAAGCACTAATTAGACTTACTTTACTTTCCCTGAAAGGACAAAAAGAAGTAACTCTAAATTAGATTGTGTACATGAAATACTGCTTATAAATGGATTGATTTTTTTCCCCAAGACCAGCTAAAGACCTGAAAGGAATAGCTGGAAAATTTTATTAATTTGGAAACCAAGGAATAATGTAAAGTTAGAGGAAAAAGTTACTTTGGCAAAAATCCCCAGTGTCGGGAAAGATAGACTGTCCATCTGGAGGAGGAATGGAACAATTAAACTGATAGTGAATCCAGATTGCAACTGTAAAGTAGCTCTTAATTCTCCTCATGTTACAAGAAATAAGTTAAGTTAAATGAGTTAAATTCTAGGTATATAGTTATTTAATACATATAACTTTCTTTATACATACCTTAATAGGTGCCATTTAAAAAATATATTATTATTGATTTCAGAGAGGAAGGCAGAGAGAGAAACTTCAATGATAAGAGAGAATCATTGATCGCTGCCTCCTGCAGGACCCGTATTGGGGATCAATTTGTCAACCCAGGCACGTTCCATTGACCAGAATCAAACCTGGGACCCTTCAGTCCACAGGCCGATACACTATCCACTGAGCCAAACCAACTAGGGTGAGTAGGTGTCATTCTTATTGTGGACTAACCATATATTATTAGTTATAAATCTGAAGTAGAGAGTTTAGTATTAATAGTAAATTATATGTGCGTAGTAGATTGTGCTCCATATTTACATTACCTTTTGAAATATAAGCAACTCATTGTCAAAGACATGATAGAAATTTTTTAAAGCTCCTACCTATCCCTGAGAATGGTCCAGAGCTCTCCACCTAGGCAAGCTTCCATCAACATATACAAATATTTGCTGTCCTTAAATGTTCTGTATAGTCTGTGAATTGCAAACAAGAAAACAAAGGTTACAAACATCATTGCCTTTCAAAAGCATGTAAGTGTTTTGAGTGCCATGATTAGAGTCTTATTCTTGATTTGCCAAGCTTGAAATGTTATTAAAAAGATAAGAGATACCTCAATTTGCAAATAAGGAAAAGGAGGAAATGCCTCCTAAGACTCATACACTGTCAGGGGCTGGTCTCTCCTCTGAAATGTATTAATCCCAGTCACTATGGACAAAGAGGGCTTCTTGGTATTTCTCCAATTACAATCTGCTTGGTGTTTCAAGCATGAACTCTTGAGCAATATTTAGTGGTTATAAAAATGCAGTGTACGTAGCTATAAAGTAGGTTATGTTTTACAAATATATCATATGAAATTTATGTGCTGTTCCTTAATATATTTGTTATATTCTGTTTTCAGCAAATGCCACAGGCAAATTAATTAGAAAAGCTTCTGCATTTAAGAAACTCCCCATTATTCTCTTATTACTGCTTTGATTGAGTAGTCATTGCATTTTTAGAAAAATTTTAAAATACTCAAATACTGAAAGATAAAATAGTTTGATATTTTGTCTTTTGAGCACCAGAAATCTATGTAGAATTTTGGAGCAACAGAGAAGATAAAAAAGAAATATTAGACATTGATTTTCCCTTTGGGAAAAGCATGTTCTTTCCCCAGAATCTGAATCTCTTGAGGAAAAATAAAAGATAGACAACTCTCTGCAAAATCTTTCTTAAAATCAGATTTAAAATGATTCTGTGTATGAATGAAATGTGTGGTGGTGCATATAGGTGGCAGGGGTTTTGTGGTTGGTTTGCACTCAGCATTGGGACTTCAGTCCCTGGGGCAGGATCCCTACCTCACAATGAAGTCAGAGTGAGCCCCCTGCATGATCTGCTTCTCAGAGCGGATGTGCTCCTGTTGTCTTGTATCCACAATGTGGCGTTTCTTGAGAATCTTCATTGCAAAGGTTTTGGATTCTTCACTTTTCAACTGGACCTTAAAGAAAGGCAGGAGAAAGTCAGAAAATGACTAGAGTGTTAATACACAGAGTTCATTCTCAATCCCAAATTAACAGGTGCACAGAGCACCTAAGTGACACCCCAACCACCATCTCAATCACACAATAAATCCTTGCTGGAGCTGGGTTTAACATTCAGGCTCACAACTATTGTCCAATCTCACTGCGCTAGATCAGATGAATTTTAATTTAACTGGATTCCCAAATAATTTTGTGCCCACTTGAATTAGAAGGGAAACATACTTGACTCTCATTTCATTCAATATGTTTGAGTATACTTGATAGTTTTTCTCCTTCAATCAAAACAGTAGAAATCTACCTTCTCCAATTTTATTGCAAGTGAGTGTGGCAAAGGTAGGATCATATGGGCCTTTATGTTCTGTCTCTTTAGCCCTATCTGCAAACTCTCAACAAGTTGTAAAAGTATCTACTACTTCTATTTCTTTTTTAACCTCCCACTTGGTTATTTCCTCCAGTTATAAGAAGAAGAAAAAGTGTAGCAAGATGTTTTTTAAGAGATTAAAAATATATATATATTTTAAACATAAGCTTTATTTTTTCCCCAAGATGGCCTTTTCTCAAGGTAGTAATAGAAAGGAAAGGAATTCTGGTATCTAGAGATAAGTTAGACCTATTACATATTTTGGAGCAGAGGAAAGGAATGAATTAGAGCTATCATTTTAATAACAATAGAATACAGTTATTGATCTCAAAGCCTTTTGAGAATGTGTTCCACAACAGTATTCCTACCTTCCTGGCAGTGATGGGCTCCTGAAAAGAGGCTGTACTTTGAATGTTAATAATTCTAATTATATATTAAATATCCTGGCTCTAAAGGAATTCTTTCATAATCTCATATCTGATTTCTGATGTGTTATGGAATTGGGCACCTGAGACCTGGATCATTTTGTTAACCAGAATCACCCCAATAAATTCAATAAAAGGTATTAAACATTTACAGCTAATTAGATGCTTTCCTATTGGGGCACATTTAGGGAAATTGATTAAAAAATATTTCTAGACATATTGAAAACTATTTTCCTTCTCAGATATGCCTGATAGCTTTAGTTCTCTTGGACCTAAATCCTTACTCCTTAGGTGTACTAATTGGGAGACCTAAGCTGTGCCTGGATGTCCCCAAGGCCTCCATGCCTCTGTTACAGCACCACATGACTCCCTGGGGCTCTGGAGTCCTCAGGCAGGCTGGTGATCTGTGTTTATTGATTTACATAAAAATTTAACAGGGTGACTTATAATGAAAACTTGGGATAGTAGAACTAATCACTTAACAGCAATTTTGAAGTGTTATCATCTAGGACTCGCCCTCAACAGAATCCTCAAGATAATGACCCACATTATTCGGAAATAACGGAAGCCTTGAGGAAATTACATGACAAGCTGTATCTTATTTTCAGCTGAAATATCACAGTCCCCTCTTTAGTTGTGAGTTGTTTATGCTTCATCTGCAGAGATAGCAAAGTTCCTAAGAGTCTTCTTCAAATACACATGTACAAATCAAATTAAGTTTAGTGGCAAGATCCTTAGAAGAGAGCATGAGGGCACTTTAAATAAAATGGACCTCAGTTTTCTGCCAGCATTACTGAATCTGTATGACAGGCTAGAGGGGGAGAATGGATAATTGAAAATGCCTTAAGCCAAAAATACTCTACTCCATCTGTGAAACCCTTGAAAAGGACTGATTAGTGTGAAACAAATGAATTCAGTTGTAGTTCATAGTAGAGGACAAAATGTGAAAACCTGCTTCTAAAAGAAATCTGGACAGATAAGAACAATGGCATGAAAAATGAGCTGCGTTACTCAAATTAAAGAACAAAATCATGTTCCTCTTTAGAGTCTAGTTAAATGACTGAATACTCCTGTGCACTTCACACATCTAGTGTAAAAATATTCTCTTTAGTTATAACACATTTTCACTGTGTACCGGGTGGGAGAAAAGAACTCAGCTTTTAGGGTCACAGGTCTGGACTTCAATCCTGACTTCAATTCAGGTCTTGCTGTCTCTTATGGAGTTATTGTGACTTTAAATTAGAAAGTGCCCCCGAATGGGCATTCATTGATGATCTCTCTCTTCTCTTTAAAACAAAGCCAGACCAAGTCACTACTCCTTTGCTCAAAACCCTCCAGTGGCTTCCCATGTCACTCACAGCAAAGACAAAACTGTCACAAAGGCCTATAAGGTCCTATACCATCTGGGCCCCTGCTACTCATGAGCCTCACTTCTTTGTCAATCAAGTGGCCACCTTGCTATTTCTTGAGTATAACAAGCAAGCTTTGAGGGAAGCTTTAGCCTCAGGCTATATGCTTGTAATATTCTTCTGCCTGAATATTCTTCACAGATATACCCTAGAGTGAGCCTCTAAGTTCTCTGAGTTCTTTGCTCAAATGTTTCCTAATCAGAGAGTCCCTCTTCACACAAGTCTACATAAAAGATGAACCGCCTACTTCTCCCTTTTTAAATGTTTTCTATAGCTCTTATCACAAGCTGATACATTCAATTATTTAGTTATTTACTTGTTGAGTATTTTTCTCCTCTCATAGTCTGAAAGCAACCTGAGATTGATTGTTTTTTTTTAATTTACTGTGCCTGACAGAGAGTAAATGCTCATGAAATATGTGTTGACTAAGCAAACCAAAGAAAGCATGAAATAAACCAAGATTATTTATCACTGGCAAAGCTATAACAGCATCTAAGCTCCACACTTAACAGCAGAAAAATCAGGGAAGCTATGATGACAAACATTTAGTATTTGGTATCTTTCTTCTTTCCAAAAATACCCTAAGTTATGCATAAAAGGGATGCAAAGATGTAATGCCCCACAGGAAATGTACATGACAAAAGATCTATATGATTAGCCCTGAATTTTCAATTTTTATAAGATGCTTTGTCTTCCTTGAATGATTAATATGTGACGTTCTTAATTATAAATACTACTGGATTTAATACAATCATATCTAGGATAAAGTCCACTTGACTGCCAACTAGCTCCTGGGTTAGTTCTTGGCTCTTTCTAGCCTTCACAATTCTTTAGTCCTCTGTAATTAATAAATTCTATAATTCCAAGAATATTTATCATTTTTTTGTAATAACCAGCATATTGCTATTTTAGCTACACCCATATGTTTATTTCACTCTAGCCAGGATATTAGGTTTAAAATTTTGCCTACTTTGCTATATCCTAAATAGTTTTGAACTTTATATTGGGAGGAGTTTAGGGAAATACGTGAAGTCATCAGGAAGAAGTCAGAAAGAGGGAAAACCTTCATTAACCATAACTGCTGGGCATGTCCATAAACATTATCTCATGTAGTCCTAATGTCAACTTTTAAAAATATATATATTTTATTGATTTTTTACAGAGAGGAAGGGAGAGGAGAGAGATAGAGAGCTAGAAACAGCGATGGAAGAGAGACATCGACCAGCTGCCTCTTGCACACCCCACACCAGGGATGTACCCATAACCAATGTACATGCCCTTGACCGGAATCGAACCTGGGACCTTCCAGTCTGCAGACCGATGCTCTATCCACTGAGCCAAACCGGTTTTGGCCTAATGTCAACTTTTAATGGCAGAAGGAAGGTTTTATTGTGTTTTTACACATACTTCATAATCCATAACAATGGCAGCTATGCTTGCAATGCTCTTATTTAGGTGTCCCGAGCAGTATACTGTAAGTTTTACTTATTCTTACTTGTCTTCCTGGCACCCCTTTGAAGACACAATTATCATCTCATTTTTCAGAGGAGCAAATTAAGGATTACCAGAAGGGATAATATATTGCCCCAGGCCACAAAGCGATCAAGGGGCAGAACTGGATCTTTGTGGCCCAAGCTATTTCCATTATGTGCCTTTGCCCATCAGCTGAATAAAACATAGTGATTGATGCTTTACAAATGAGTTTAATGGAATTGGCTAACTCATCGACTCGGTGAGAAAAGCTGAATCATGTACCATTACCTTTAAGCTTCATTCATGCTAGACATGTAGTTTGAGAAACCAGCCGAAACCTCGCTGGCATTTCCTTAGGCACTTACAAAGACCTCAATGTGCTGCTATCAGAGACCTGGGCTCTTCTCCTGCAAGGAGAAGCCAGGGATGGTGGGCGGAGGAGGGGAGATAGACGAGAGTGATAACAGATGATCATTGGTGGCAGATGGCTACTGCCAATGGAAAGTAGGTAGAAGCTACAGAGTTCTTTGGGAGTCAGTCTTACTGGTTGCCAATTTAGTAAATATGAATTACAGTTTACAGAAACCCACAGCCTATCTACTAAGGCTTTCTGTTTCATCTTTGCTTGAGTCTAGAGTCTAGAACTACTTTTTGCACTTGGTAAAGCCCTCACTAATTCCTTAGAGCACAGCACTTAGTCAGAATGTCTATTTCCATTTTAAACTAGAATGCCAAAGACTCACAGAATCCAGCACCTAACAGAGAAGTCAGGGCACCGAGGACCACTGGTGGGAGCTAACTCAACAAAGTTGGTTTGTTATGCAGAAGCTGATTCTCAAAAAAGTCCAAGAAACATGTTCATGTTCATGACAAATCTTCCCCTGATAAACTGACAGCTGCCTCAAGAACACAGAAGAATGTTCAACTCTCAGATGAGCAATGCCAAATTGCTGGAGTGTGTTTCTCTCCACTCTGGTTATAGTTCTTAACCAGATTCACCCAATTAGGCACATAATAAAACTTTCACAACCAAGGAAACCAGTAAACCAACTCTCAGATTTTCTACTCATGCATACGCCCTGGGCTGTTTTGTCTGCATCATTTCCCAATGTTCCTCTATTGCCAGACAACTCCGTACAGTCCTATTAGATGCTGCCCTTTAACTCCACATGCAGGAACACTTCACTGGTTCAGTTCGATAGCAGCAGAGTACAGCAGCAATGCTGAAGCAAGGTATAAAGTAGCCATGAACTTCAAGAGGAAAAAAAGGCATGAAGCTGCTATACATT